CTAACGAGGGATCTCACAATCGATCCCCCTTGGGGGCCTACTGTCCTTGCTGGCACATCGCCCTGTGTCTGGCTCTAATACCATTTGTAACAGCCAAAACCCACTGCTAGCAAATATTATCCGCTTTGACCCGTTACGTATCGCCATTAGCCTCACAGTTTTAAAACGCATTAGCTAGGGAGAGGTTTCCACACCCTTATAAGGAATGTTTCGATCTCCTCTCCAACCGACGTGGGATCTCACAATCCACCCCCCTTGAGGGTCTAGCGTCCTCGTTGACACATCGCCCAGTGTCTGGCTCTAATACCATTGGTAACAGCCCAAGCCCATTGCTAGCAAATATTGTTCGCTTTGACCCGCTACGTATCGTCGTTAGCCTCACAGTTTTAAAACGCATCTGCTAGGGAGAGGTTTCCACACCCTTATAAGGAATGTTTTGTTCCCCTCTCCAACTAACGTGGGATCTCACAATCCACCCCCCTTGGGGGCCCAACGTCCTCGCTAGCACAGCGCCCAGTGTCTATCTCTAATACCATTTATAACAGTCCAAGCCCACTCTAGCAAATATTGTCCACTTTAGCCCGTTACCATCAGCCTCACAGTTTTAAAACGCGTCTACTAGAGAGGAGATTTACACACCTTTGTAAGGAATACTCCATTCCCCTCTCCAACTAATATGAGATCACACAGTTACTTACCAGGGGCAGAGTCCTTCAGTAACGTTTACTTAATCGTTCTTTACTTACCCTTTACCATCAGCAAGAAACATTTCTAATATCGTACATAAACAACAAAATCAAGACTCTTATTTCCTTTTTCCGTGCTTGAAAAACGAAACAAAAACATTATCAAACACGCCCGGATCGAAGTAGCTAAGTTTTATTCAAGAGCTGATGAAAACATGATGAGCATCATAAAGATGAAGCAATACAAAAGTGAATAGAAAGAGGAGAAGAACCTGAACAAAGCAGTCATGGAAGTGCAAGCGGACAACAAAAGCTGCATTGCGTGGGTCAGAAAGCACTGCACACTCCATCTCTTTCCTCACAACCTGCAACACAGTGGGACAAGTTTTGGCATAGTAATCCAACGTCAAGCTGTGGCTCACAGACAAGAAACCACAAAGCCCCATCAGCCCATAAACAAGGCAAGGGGAGAGATTTGAGATACCCATCTTTTACCACTCATTTCTTCAATGCCCTTGCATCAAGCTTTTTAAAGGCACTACTTTCAGTTTTGGCTGCTTTCTTGCAGGGCTGCATTATGGACAGTTCTTGAGGTCAAGAGTGGATGCAACTAATATTGGTCTGGTTGTTGGGTCTTCCCAAACAAAACCCAAAAAAGAACAGGGAGAAAGGACAGACAGAGGGTTAAGGTAAGCTAGAACAAACCCTTGTTCGGTCATAATATATGTCTTAACTAGCTAAACAAGGCTCGTTCTTTCTCGGAATGATCCTGTAAAGAGGTAGAAAAATTCATCAAAAGTTCGAAATTCTCAATTTCTAGAACAGGTGTAAGCGTGGGGGTTTAGAGTTCATAGCTGAACAAGAAAACATCGATCAAAAATCAAACACCACCTTGGAATGAATTATAGCATTGAATTTTTCTCCAATGCTTTAGAGTTGTTGAGAAAAATATCACATTTCAAATTTGGAAGGATTTTTATAATAACTTCTATGAACTTTTTTCTCGTTTTTGCTTAAAATATATTTTGATTTCAACCGTTTTCACTTTGTTTTTTCCTCTAAAGTTTCAAGAACAGAAGTATTAAATTTAGATGATGACTACTTGTTAAAATTACTTTTGTTTTCAATTTTTTTTTTAATTCTACCTTTTGAAATTTAATTTTAAAATGTGATAAAAACTTTAATAAATATAATATTTCTGGTAAAATACTCAATTTATTTTTTATTAAATTAAAATCTGTATAACAATATATTATAAATTATATGATATTTACAAAATAATAGTTATATAAAATTTATAACTAAAAAAATATGCTCATAAATAAATTAATTAATTAATAATAGTGCAGATTCAACTTAATTGTATAAATATACTATAGAACACATATTAAACAATTATTTAAATTAAAATTAATTTTCTACATATACTATCAAGCCAGATTACCTATCATGTGTACCAATCTTATAAATTAAAATTAATTTTCTACATATACTATCAAGCTAGATTACCTATCATGTGTACCTATCTTATTCAAATCAATGCTAAAATTTATTAAAACCACGTGATTTTTAAATTTTGGGAACAAAAAATTGCTTATTTTACTTTCCGATAATGTACAACCTTATACCGTTTATGTGAGAAGGGCGGTGGAAAAAAATGGCATGATTGTACATTTTTTAACCTCTTTCTTATGTGTCTGTATCTAATTGATTATGCTCGTATTGTCATTTTGAACTTGAAAACGATTGAAAGTTAAGTTCTTATGCCCTCATGCTTGAGATTTATCGGGTCTAATGTGAACTATGAAAATTTGAATGTCTAACACGAAGTATTAATTAAAACAAAGATTGGGTATCAATTATTTTGAATTAAAAGTAAAATCAAACGTTAAATTAAGTTTCCATAATGACTCACTCACAGGCATCGTACCATTGTTCGAGATTCGTAGGGGCATTATTTTGCAATCTGTAAAATTCTGGTTTCCAAGTCCGATAGGAAAGGCCCAATAATCCGTGGAAAAGTAGGCCCAGTCGCCGCCGCCGCCGCCCGCACTCCGCCATCCAGACGACTGCTCTGGATCTCAACTACGAAGCCTCCGTTGCCACCATAGCTTCCAAGCCTCTCTCTTAATACAACACACTCCCATGTCGTCCCTTAGACCAGCCGAACAATTTCAGTTTCAGATATCCTTCACTTCTCCCAATGCTACTCCCTGGCATCATCTCCGCCTCTTTCTCCTGCTCCGTTCGTCTCTGTAACCCCAACTGCGCGCATCCTCGGAACGTCGCTGTCTCCGCCCAATCCTCGCCGGTCAATGCTAGCTACAGCGTCTCCGACAAGGACCTCGAATCCCGAGGCTTCTTCCTCAACCTCGACCAAACGAACTCGGTCTTCGCTGCCGTTGGATTCCCTAAACGCGATCCGGATAAGATCAAGATTGCGTTGGAGCACACGGACGCGTTGCTCTGGATCCAATACAGTAAAACGTAGCGGCCAGTGGCGACGGCGTGCTCGACGCGATTGTTTGGGATGTGGTGATGGATCCTTCCTTCCAAGGGCTTGGTTTGGGAAAGGCTGTGATCGAGAGGATTATCGAGGACTTACTGCGTAACAGGCATTTTAAATATCGCATTGAAATCGGAGCCTCGCGTGCTAGGGTTCTACAGACCTCTAGGTTTCGTCGCGGATCCAGATGCGATCCGTGGAATGGCGTATTCGAGAAAGAAAAAGAAAAATCAAATACAGAAATGCTCAAATCCAACAGCGTCCGATTCAACCACAGTATTTAATTACCAAAGCGTTCGATCTTTTCCCGGTGAAATTCGAGAAGAGGAAAAAAGCAATAAATCAAGTCAACTTTCCATTTCTATTACCATTGAGATCAAAATTTCGGATCAAACAGACGACGAAAGAATCAAAACACGATTCCGATTCGAGATTAGGATGAAAAACAAGAATAGCAAAAGAGCATACCTCCGATCGAACGCCGGATTAGGAAACATCCTTAGTACTGTGCAAGAACGCGGCAGAGCAAAGAATGGTAGCAATAAGAGCAAAAATTCCCAAACCTATGACGAGAGAAATTCCGGCGACGAACAAATCCAATAGGCCTTGAATGCTCAAACTGATCAGCATCTTCTTCTTCAACTTGCTATTCTGCGTGCAAGAGTAAAAATCGAAACGCAAACGGCCATGGCCATTAACAGATGCAGAGGCAGCAAAATTACGACACGCCTCACTGCTCTGCGATGGAAATCACCGTACAACGTGTCAACTTCTGTGAAATTGTACATATGGATGCCTTTCTGCGTGTTTCTCTCTTGGATATGGTTCTTTCGTGAATTATGAATTATTTAATTATTTAATTTGCTTTATTTTCCTCCAGGAAAATTCATTTTTCCTTTAATTTTATTTTATTCTTAAAATCAATTTTAATATTAGTCATTTGATCTTTATATAAAACAATTTAAATGTCTCTTAAATTTTATGGAATGAAAAGGAATATTAAAAAAAAAAAAAAAACAAAAACCTACTAATTAATAATAAATATTTATTAAAAATCCTTAAACTATATTTTAACCAATCATTTTTTTATTTTTCGGTCTATAAATCTCTCTCATATATAATTTTATTTCTAGTTATGGTTCATCACGAATGCTAACTCCAAATTTCAACCTTATTTCGAGGGTTGTAGTTCTTTTTCTCGTTCTTGAAGTGATTCAAGTTTATGGTTGTGTAATACGGATTGAAAGAAGATTGCTTACAAATATCATTAACCACTGAATTGAAAGATCTATCTCGTATCTGGTACTGCACGGTTCCATTCTGTAAGAACTCTGAATTTCTTATGTAGTTTCACATACAACTTGTAATCCTCTGAGCTACAGGTCCCATCCCGTCGAACCCGTAGCTTCTGGTTAGGAATGGGCGGACCACCAAGCCTTGCAAAAGCAGGGGGTTGGGCCGATTCAATGGCCCCAGGTCACTTCTCGAAAACAAGAGCTAAGGGTCCACCCAAAAAGGTCAATCGAAAATATATGTATGTATGTATAATTTGAATGACTTAATCTAAGTGTATAAATTATTATAAAATAATGGTTAAAATTTCAAAATAGGTAAAATTCACATTATAAAAAAATTATATTTTCAACTATAAAATTAAATTATATAAATGTGAAATTAAAGCATGTAACTAATACATTATTCGATAAATTATGTTTAAATTAACGTAAATTTATAACTAATTAATGAAAGACATAATAATATAAATTATATTTAATCCATATAAATACACTATGGGTCCCTAAGGAGGCGTAAGGAAGTAAGGAAAGGTGGCCAAGCCGACCACTTTGGAGAGAAACGGAAGCCATGCGGGGTGGAGATGTAATTGATGTTGAAATTGAAGTACGCTTGTCTTGATTTTGTTCGTCCAAATCCGAGAAGCAATTGATTAGAACAATGGAGTTGGAAGCTGATCTTGCAAACAAAAAAGACATCGATTAAATTAGTTCATCTTTATTTCAGAACTACCGACCTTCAATTCAGTTCTTCTTCTTACATCTGGATTCGATGTGACACTGTACTTTAATCCTCCTCCCACGCTCTCATCCACTCCATCGGGCATCGCCTAAACCCAAGCAAAAAGGAGGAAATGAGGTACGGATGATTAGAATTATGCTGTTTATCTTTCTACGTATTCGAAATATTCTAGTGATTGGAAGGAAAAAAGTTCGGTGAGACTTGTCAATTGCTGTCGACTTTTTGATCTAATCCTGTAGTAAATTAATTTGCAAGTGGATTTCAAGTCGAAGAGGCGAAAAGAAGAGGAAACATTAATTTAAAGCATATGTGATTAATTTATTGTTAGAACCATGGGAAAGCTTGACTTCGGTGTGCTATGGCGGACACTTGGTGGAGTCGTGTGCTTAAATAATCATTTGGATAACATTGGGGGTTATGACATTAGGAGCAATTTTCTGTTCCTTTTGGAGTTTCTTGGCTTTTTTGCTTTAAGTAGGATAAATGGGTGGATAGGAAGAAGATTGACGCGACTTTTTGATCCAAGTGGTTTTTTATTGGGTTGGTATACGGTGCAGCAATTCTGCTTTTCAACGTCTAAGTTTAGGACAAGGTTTGGAGTTTCTTGAATGACGCATGCAAGTGAATGAAACAAAAAGGGAAAATGAAACCAGAGCCTATCAATTTGAATGGAATGGTAGCCACTTGCCAACGCCAAGCCAGATTTTTGGTATGGTTGTGCTTCACAGCCAAGGTGTTTGATGAAATGCTTCACAGAAAGAGCTGCTGCAGCGATTTAGGTAAATGATGTGAACAACCTAATTGGGTCCCTCCAACCCAATATTTCAGTGCTTAATGAGTCATCAGACTTCTAATTAAGTTGGTAATTAGAACTTGAGAGTTTGCCTTTTTGTGTTAACCTTCATTACGTCATTGATTCAGAAGGTGTTATTGGCTGCTTCAGTTCAATGCACTATGCTTCTGTAGTCTGGTGGTGGGAGTTCTTTAGGTAAAGTTCTAGCCTGAGTTTGACTTTAACGCCATTAGTCTTTGTTTTAACCTTTGAATTCTTTCACCTTTGACATGATTTCATCCGTCACCACTTATGAGCATATATGTATCTGTGCCTGTGCGTGTTTATATCTACATTAGATGCATATCAAGCTGTACACTGATAGGGTCATTACAATCATGTGTTTAAGCCTTATGCTCATGTAAATTTCTCAAGAACTGTAGCTTTACTTTGTTAAATTGGCCCACTTTTCCAACTTTATCATCCTATAAAAACCCATTATTTCTCCTGCTCTTATCACTGGCCTCCCCATCAGCAATCTTCTAGACAAACCCCCTGAAGCCACTATCAACAAAAGTTCTCAAACATGGTTCCAGCTGAAATGACTGGCATCCAGTTTTTTCCATCTGAAAACGCTTTTCAAATTCCTTCAAATATTGGCATGATCCAGAACAGCTTTCAGACCTTCCATCATTTGAATGACTTTCTAGGAAACCAACCAATGTCTCACGTCCCTCATCCTGGCCTTGAATTCCTTGCACAATCCTTAAGTTTTAGCTACAACTCAACATCTGATGAAGCCGAGGAACAACAGAAAAGTATTATTGATGAGAGAAAGCAAAGGAGAATGATTTCTAATAGAGAATCAGCTCGTAGATCACGGATGAGAAAACAGAAACACCTTGATGAGCTTTGGTCTCAGGTGCTTAGGCTTCGCTCTGAGAACCATGAGCTGGTGGACAAGTTGAACCACATATCTGATTGCCATGAAAAGCTTCTTCTGGAGAATGCCAAGCTGAAGGAGGAAGCCTCTGATCTTCGTCAGATGCTCAGTCACCTGCAAATTGGCAGACCTTACACTCCTTGCTTGAGTGACCTTGAAGATATTCCCAGCAACACTGTACATCTCAGAGCTGAATCTTCATCATGCCAGTCCATCGCCAACTCCATGGATAACCTACTCTTCATGGAGGATAAATCTTTAACTTTCTAAACTTCTAGTTCTTTTTATCTAGTTTTGTTATTAGTCATCAGTCTTTGCTTTGAGCTTGTATGAGATCAGTAGTAGAATAAGATTGTTTTGGCTTTCAACCAGAGGTTGAATCCGGAGTTTTCTCACTACCTGTTAAAATTAGCATTCATGAAACCAATTGCTCTCTGCCCGCCGCATATACAAAATGAAGCTGGAGAAGCAAAGTACCTGAAAATGATATATTCATATTGGATCATGAGTGCCTGATTCATAACTTCATCATTTTCTTTTAAACCCCACCAGCTTACATCATTAAAGCTCCACAAAGGAGAGAAATGGATAGGAAACAGGAAACAATTTAACAGAGGAAGTAAGATTTTTGTCCAGTGAGCTAAGTGTATGGAGTAAAAACAACCAAAGTTCTGCACAGAATAAGAGGGGCACAATAGGACAAGCCATGGTGGAGGTGCTGCTGTTAGTGGCTCATCATTGAAATGAATACCATAAGATGCCAAACTTTTGAAAATGGTATCCACTAATACAAAATACCCTATTACCTTGCTATCTCTCTTTTGTCTATTATGGTAAGCTGATTCAAACAATCAAGCTTAACAGTTCATATCTATATACTGTTCAATCAGGCAGAAATCTCAGAGCAAGGTATTTGACTCTCTCTCTCTCTCTTTTTCTCTAGTTAATGCATTAGAATTTGTTGCATAACTTTGGTGTTATAAACTGAATCATCTCAGACTGCACTGTTCTCAACCATTAGAAATTGTCTGGAACAGGGGTGATGTAACGGCCCAAGCCTATCGCTAGCAGATATTGTCTTCTTTGAACTTTCCCTTTCGAGCTTCCCCTCAAGGTTTTTAAAACGCATCTGCTAGGGAGAGGTTTCCACACCCTTATAAATAATAGTTCGTTCTCCTCCTCAACCGATGTAGAATCTCACAGGTGACGTTTCAGGTGGTGGCTTTAACATTGACAATTGCTGTTGCATGTCCTGTGCTGCCGAGGTACACCATTAAACTCTCTGTACTTTACTGTCATCCAAAAAGCCATCCGCTGTGAAATTTTCTTTCCCTTTTGTCTGAATCTGCATACTTCGAACAATTTGTGGGATTTGGATTGGGAAATCCTTTCTCAACCTATTCAACCACTTTCTAAATATGGAGGCTTTTTCCTTGCTGCTGCTATGTGGAGTGTGAGGCCGATCAGATCCTAAAGCAAAATAGATCTGGTTAATGGATAAGGACCCGACATTATGATCATACTTGTTGACATATAGGTATTCTAATGCATTATTTATTGCCTGCAAAATTTGTACTTGTTCTGTATATTTACTTTGGGAATACTTTTTTCTTTTATCTCTGTTGAGACAGGAATTAAAAACTTTACCTTGTAGAAGATATACATTAACTACGTTGAGATTATCCAATTTAATGTTTTTGTGAGATTCATCGTATTCCATAGTTCCTTCCGTTGGTAACGACACTATTGAGTGCCCCGGTTCATGGTATTCCATAGTTACTTCTATTGGCAACGACACTATTGAGTGTCTCTAATCAGGGTCGTAGATCGAGTTCTGACCTAAGATTGCCACCTTGATCCATTTGGCTACATCCGCCCCTATCCCGCACAAAGCTTCAACTGCTTTCAACTACTTGAAAATTTATATTAGGTTATGGAGGTTATGGGGTAAACATTGTTCTTGTTTTTTTTTCTCCTTTTTAATCAATTGTGTTAAGGATATTTAGTAATAAAGTATAGTAAGGCAAATATCTAATATTTGCCATTAGCATAGGTATCTTTCCATTTATTGTTATTTCCATTTATTACTATTTTCATATCCTTGTAATTTATTTGATTATAAATAAGAAATGGTGTGGTGGATTCAGCAAACATTCACAAATTGTAAATGCACTTTTCTTAATATGTTTGAAACTAAATATTTCTAAAAATATTTAAAAAAAAGTTCTCAATGTTTTTTTAGTAATTTAATGTGTCGTAGGGTCAAATAAATGTCTTGAGGAATATTAATATTAAGATATGAAGACATCCGCAATAGGAGCATTTTTAATTGGAACCAATTTTAGATAATATTATAATATACTTAATCGAAATTATTTCTTAATTAAAGATAATAAATTCAGTTCTTTTAACTGTTTTGAGTTTTTTTTTTTTAATTTTTTTTCAAACAATTTTGGTAGCCAAACATTACGGAAAAAGAAAAGTACTTTTAAGTTGCTTTAAATTATTTTTTTAGACTAAATTAATTAAAAATACCCTTAATTTTACCTTTTTGAAAATATTTCTAAATTTCAATTTCAAAATTTCAAAAAGTTTGATTGATACTTAAACTTTAAAAAAAAAAAAAAAATCTAAAAAAATATTTTTATATTAAAAAAAAAAAACTTAAAAATATTTAATTTGGATGAAAATGGTTAATACCAAAGATAGACTTTGAACTTTCATACAAGTTTCAAAAATACCAATTTTCAAAGGTGTTTCCAAAATAGACTTAAGTTTTTAATTTTTTTTTATTAATTCTTGGTCTGCTTCCTTCTTTTCTTTTCAATCACAGGAAATGTCTGGAACTGGGCTTGACTATTCAAGCAAGAAGGTCCGGTTCGGGAGGTAATCTGTTTCGTTCAAGCGGGATCCGAAGTCTCCGGGTTGTTACTGGGTAGAATACTTTGTAGGTTATCAACCGAAACTTTTTTAAAACTATAAAAAAAACCTTTAACCTTTTTTTAAAAAAATTCAAAAATACCCTTTTTCATTAGTATCAGCTTTTTAAAAATATTCATGAACTTATCTCCATTCATATATTATAACAATAAATTTAAATAAAAAGAATAATATTAATATTATTTTTAAAATTTCATGGATTTTTTTAAACAAAATATTTAGATATTTTTAAATTTTTAAAAATTTAAAAGGTATTAATGGAAATTTTTAAAATTTAAAAGTATTTTTGAAATATTATTGAAAGAAAAAATATATGAATATGTTTTATATTTTATTTAAAGATAAAATATTATCGAGAATTTTGAAGGCTTAAACAAATTTTTTACGGCCGTTAAATAAAAGGATCACACATTGTGTGATATGTAGTTTACCGTTAAATAACGGACTGAATCGCGCCAAACAAACCCCTCCAGATATTTCCCGCTTGGCTATTCCACAGACATATCTTCTTCCTTATCCTCGAATCGAAATGTTAATTCCATAATCCGCCATTGCAGCTTATCTTCATCCTTCACTTCCATGCTTTTGTTCTGCGGATTGCACAACCATGGCGTCTTCCCCCACTCCCATCTCTCCACTATCTTTTCCCAATCGGAGATCAAAACCAAAACCAAACAAACCGCCTCCTTCATTGCCTCCGCCGTGGAAACCCAGCCCCAAATCTATGCCCAAGGAGATTTACTTTAACCGCGATGGCTCTGCCTTGAAAAAGCTTCAGGTTACGCACTCGGACGAGGCCCTGGATTATCTTTCCTCGACAACTGATTTGTTTGGTTTTGTTGCGCAGGTCGGTGTTGATTTGGTGGCGGAGTTGGTCGGTGTTACGTTAGGGCCGAAGGGGAGGAATGTGGTGCTTCAAAGAAAATATGGTCCGCCTAAGATCGTCAACGACGGGGAAACTGTCCTCAAAGAGGTATTGTGGTATTCTTTTCGTATTTTGGTTAAGGTTTTTCGCATTTGTTATTACGGCATCTGTAAATGAAATACTCGATCGATTGCGGAATAATTCAATCTAATCCAGGTCTATTGCTAGAAAATTAGGAAGTTATGTGGTTAGGAAATATAATTAGATAAATTCTTTTGATACCATATTATATTTCAGTCGACTAAGAATTTCAGTAAAGCTATACTGTTCCTTATTAATTGAAATGGTTTGTGATAATAAGTTTCTTTATCATATTACTTTTGGATTAGAGATAAAAGAACAAGAAATTCGTTCCGAAATCATCTTGTACAAGATCTACCACGGGAGCTAACTGCTGCAATTTCTCTGTAATTCACTAGTTCGTTTGTGAATTTGCATCCATTTTTCTCGCCTTACTTTTGGAATTCAATTTACAGCAACAGTGTGTCCTATTTTATTAACTAAAATCCCACCCTGCAATGTTATGCATTTTCTAGCTGCATACATTGCTATTATGAAAACTTGATTCAGCATGTGTTGGCTTATAAATAATTACACAAGTACTTAATCAAGGTCGTCTATCTTTTTGATATTTGATAATTATCTGGTTGGAAAATGTTCTTTAGATTGAATTGGAAGACCGTTTAGAGAACGTTGGGGTGAAATTGGTAAGACAAGCTGGTGCAAAGACAAATGACCTTGCTGGTGATGGTTCCACTACATCTGTTGTTCTTGCCCAGGGATTAATTGCTGAGGGTATGAAGGTAGCTAATGGAGTTCCATGAATGAATATCAACCATTTAGAACAACTACTGTTATGTGGACCATGGAATACCCTGTCCACCTAAGATTTTAACTTTTGAAAAACTTTTCATTAACTTCTGTATTATGAAAGGATAACAAAATATTAATATCTTTTTTTTCTCCCCTCAGTTAATTTCCTGGCCAATTTGAAGTACTGATCATAGAATGCACTTAATAGGTTATTTCATCTGGCATGAGTCCTGTTCAAATTGCACGTGGGATTGAGAAGACTGCAAATGCACTAGTTTCTGAGCTGAAATTGATGTCAAGAGAGGTAAGCATGGTTATGCTTCTTTCAGTGTGGAAGGTTCAAAACCCTGAGACGTGCTTCATAGTGAATGAAAGGAAAAGAATATCAATAGCCGCAAGTGGCAGTCTAATAACTCTTTGTCAGTAATTTTTTCAACTGCTACATATTTCAAATTTGCAGGTTGAAGATCATGAGATAGCACATGTTGCTGCAGTTAGTGCAGGGAATGATTATGCTGTGGGAAATATGATTTCAGATGCCTTACGTCAAGTTGGAAGGAAAGGAGTCGTCCAAATTGAAAAGGGGAAGAGTATCGATAACAGTCTGCAAATTGTTGAAGGGATGCAATTTGATTCTGGATATTTGTCTCCGTACTTTGTTACTGATAGACAGAAGATGATAGTAGAATTTCATGATTGCAAGGTAGCAACAAGACTATAAGTAATATGTTTTCTTTTTATAAAAGAGTAATCCTTGGAAATGGGGATTTTTGGTTGCAGTTACTGTTGGTCGACAAAAAAATCTCAGATCCAAAGGAGATGTTTAAAATATTGGACAGTGCAGTGAAGGAGAAGTATCCAATTGTGATCTTGGCAGAGGGCATTGAGCAGGCAGCTTTGGCTCCAGTAATTAGGAATAAACTTAGAGGTGTGCTGAAGGCAGCTGCTGTCAAGGCTCCTGCCTTCGGCGAACGCAAGAGTCACTACTTAGATGACATAGCGACCCTAACTGGAGGTAGAAGATTATTCGAAAAGAGTTTTAGAGTCCTTGTTGTGCTTTCCCCATCTCTCTTAATCTTCTGAAACCATTTATATACAACAAAGGAAAGAGAAGACCCCCCCTCCCCCAAAGGAAAAAAATAATGAAAGGGCACTGTTTTCTTTTCTTTTTCCCTTAAGCGCTAACATGAATAAGTGCAACTAATTTCTACATCCATGGAGTGGTACAGTATATTCTAAATTCAATGAGATTTCGGCATAAACATATATCGGAGATCAAGAGAATTCAGTGTAGGACATTTCACCATAATGACGATGAAATACATGAATTTACAAGGATGCTGTATCTAATGAAGTATACCATTGGGATGAAATACATGAATTACATCTTATATGTATGATAATAATGAAAAGAAAAGGAATTTTACTTGTAGTTCTCTTTTAGTTCTCAGAAGATTTTACTATTAAGTGTAGTCCAAAGTTCCTGACTCTTTTGTATGTTTGTAGCAACTGTGATCAGAGAAGATAGTGGACTGACTTTAGAAAAGACCGGCAAAGAGGTATTGGGCTCTGCTACTAAGGTTGTTATAACGAAGGATTCCACACTAATAGTTACAGATGGGACTACTCGGGAAGCAGTTCAAAAAAGGGTTTTACAAATTCAAAAGCTTTTGGAGGTGCTGGAATCATCCCTTATCTATGCTGAGATATCCTACATTTCGAGGTTTTCTGCATTGCAGGATCCATTTCTAAGCAATATAAAAGAACGCAAATTTTCATGCTGAAGTATATTGCTTTGACGTTGAGTTGAATTACACCAAGAGATATACTATCATCTATTCTGCAGAATACTGAGGAAAAATTTCCAAAGAAGATTTTGAATGAGAGAATTGCTAGACTATCTGGGCGAATTGCTATACTTCAGGTATATTCTAAGAACTCAAAATATTGCCTATATCAACATAGGAAAATAGCAACTTACGCTACCTTGTTTTATTGTAGGTAGGAGCACAAACTCAAGTTGAATTGAAGGATAAACAGTTAAGGATTGAGGATGCCTTGAATGCGTCAAAGGTGCTTGGTTGGTTTGTTTTCCTTGTGATATGAGTTCCTATCATCAGTGATAACCTTATGTTCATTGTAGGCTGCAATTGAAGAAGGTGTTGTCGTTGGTGGTGGTTGTTGTCTTTTAAGGCTGTCAACCAAGGTGGATGCTATAAAGAATGTCCTGGAAAATGAAGAGCAGATGGTATCCCTCTTGGCTTACTTCAAAATTTTCTGTTCTAATATCTTAATATTATATAAACTTGTTTGCTTGAATATGATGACTGCACAGTTAGACTTAGTTTTGATTAGCATTATCAACTAGAATATTACCTGAATTAATATGATGGGTTCTCTAAATTGTTCATATTGATTTCACTGGTCAATTACAGATTGGTGCCGAAATTTTCAAAAGGGCTTTGAGTTATCCTACAAGACTAATTGCGAGAAACGCCGGAGTTAATGGAAGTGTGGTTATAGATAAGGTTGCTGTGAACAGAGGAATTTGCTTCTAATTTGCGTTGTATAATTTTCTCATCTTCACATATCGTGTCTAATCAATCATGGAAAAATAATTTCATATCTCGCAGGTTCTAATTAACAATGATATGAATTTTGGATATAATGCCGCCACAGACCATTACGAGGATTTAATGAAAGCTGGAATCATGGATCCATCGAAGGTTATGAACTTTCTTCCGAGCTCTTGAACTTTTGAAGAATTTGATCGAAACATAGCAGAGTAACATCCATTTCTTTGATGAAATATGAACTTTAGTATTTAAAGGATCTTAAAAGATATAGATTGGGAAAAGGTTAATATAGTGAAGGAATGGTTTTTCATCAACCAACAACTTGTTGCACTAAATTTTAGTTATCTGGGGCAGGTCGTCAGATGTTGCTTGGAGCATGCCGCTTCTGTTGCGAAAACTTTCCTGACATCCGATGCTGTTGTAGTTGATATCAAGGAACCAGAATCCTTTCCAAGAAGAACGCCGTTGCCCATCTCAGGTATTGGACGAACAAACTATATGGCCCTTCATTTCTCTGACATCCATTCGTTTGGTTAACAATAATGCCTTTGATGTTGTAGGCATCAAACGAATGGGTCTTTAGCTTGACGGCCAAGATCAGAGTATATGGGGGAATTCTACGATGGCTGTTTTCAGACACAGACAAATGGGTCTCAAGCCACCATTAAGAGTAAAGTTCTTGCCCAATTTGTAGCAATGATTTGATTGATACAAGGCAGGTTGAGCAGCAAGTGAAGGACAAGCAGGCCAAGAACTTGTCGAGGTAATGCTCTCTTCACTAACAATCTTACGATTACAGTAGAAAATCATCAAGTCGATTAAACTTCTTGGTAGCTCATAATGTCCTGTGATCTATTTTGATTGCAACTGTGATGAAGGGCAAAATCTTAAGAGTCCTTTGTCTTTAAGAAGTGTCTGCTAGTTAAAGACTCTGTCAAACTGATGCTGTAATCTAACATGCAATTGGATGACGAATTTATAAATAGAACTTGAATTCGAATGTTAGATGTGGTTTGGAAATGGCTGTCCTCAATGCATAGTAGGGAGAAAAGGCTGCAGTTTGTTAAACGTACTCGGGCATCAGCTGACTAAGAAAACAATACCTAAGCGTAAGCTTGGCTTTTAGATTAAACTTGTTAAACGTACACTAGGATCGAGGAAGAAAACGTACACTAGTGTTTTAGGCCTGCTAGGCGTAAGCTCGAGTCTAGCTTTTTAGACTGGACTTGTTAAACGTACTCTAACATCAGTTAGAGGAAGAAAACAAGTGAGTGAACTTGTTAAACGTACTACAGCATCAGTTAGAGGGAGAAAACAAATAGTGTCTTGGGTATGTTAGGCGTAAGTTTAGGTCCAGTTTTTTAAATCAAACTTGTTAAACGTCCTCCAACATCAGTAAGAGGAAGAAAACAAATAGTGTCTTGGGTCTGCTGGGCTTAAGTTTGAGTCGAGTTGTTTACGTCAGGTCAAGTTAGACCGACTCTTATGAAGATTAAACATATCTGTAACGACCCAGATCCACCACTAGTAGATATTGTCCTCTTTGGACTTTCCCTTTCAGGCTTCCCCTCAAAGCTTTAAAACGCGTCTGCTAGAGGAAGGTTTCCACGCGTTTATAAATGGTGGCTTTAAAACCAATGTGGGCACCCTCCTTCGGGCCCAGCGTCCTCGCTGTCACTCTTTCCTTTCTCCAATCGATGTGGGACCGCCCCCAAATCCACCCCCTTTGGGGCCCAGCGTCCTCGCTAGCACTCTTTCCTTCCTCCAATCAATGTGAGACCGCCCCCAAATTCACCCTCTTTGGGGCCCAGCGTCCTCGCTAGCACTCTTTCCTTCCTCCAATCAATGTGAGACCGCCCCCAAATTCACCCCCCTTTGGGGCGGTCCTTACTGGCACATCACAATCCACCCTCCTTCGGGGCCTAGCGTCCTCGCTGGCACTCTTTCCTTCCTCCAATCGATGTGGGACCGCTCCCAAATTCACCCCCCTTTGGGGGCCAGCGTTCTTACTGGCACACTGCCTCCTGTCTACCCCCCTTCGGGGGACTGCGAGAAGGTTAGCACCTCGTCCGGTGTCTGGCTCTGATACTATTTGTAACGACCTAGATCCACCATTAGCAAATATTGTCCTATTTGGACTTTCCTTCCAGGCTTCCCCTCAAAGCTTTAAAACGCGTCTGCTAGGGAAAGGTTTCCACACCCTTATAAATGGTGGTTTGTTCTCCTCCCTAATGTGGGACATCACAATATCCATATTATCTTTTTCCCCCGAAGAAAAACATGGAGGTTTAGATTTTGGGTCGTTAGGTGTAATGCTTTTACACCTCTACCTGAACTAGTAAAAAACTCTATTTACCGAACTTGCTCTATTAAGATAATCATATAGGTATATTTCGAACAAAATGTTTAAAATATACCAATATAGCATTTTTTTTTCTCTTAGCTCTGTTCAAAGGATCTTCGTCAAAGGAGCAATGGTAACCACATTTTTCTTACTTCAATCGACACGACTTTATGTTCATATTATTAGCATAAAGTCGAGAAAATGTGTAAAAGCATATGCATTGATTTGGACAGATAACAAATGATTTGTGTAAAAGAGTTAAGAAGATGAGGAGAGTTTGGTAACCCTTTTTGGTGTTAATATGCATATGGTTCATGGTCTACTCATTTTTGTAACATTTGTGGATAAGATTGTGACATTTGTGAGAGAAAAAGCTATATGACTCGAAATTCATTGAAAGAAAAACTAGCTTTGTAGAAAATATTGGGTTATTTACATGATTGGATCACTTGAGTAACCCTGATTATTCAACTTAAACCGTAAGGATTGGTTTGGTTAGTTTTTTTTTTTTTTTTTTTCCGGTTTAAGTTGGATTGATTTTTTTGAAAATTGAAACTTCGGTTCGGTTTTTGAGTTTTTTGGGTTGGTTCAACCCACCAACACGAAAATAGGGTGCACAATCCAATCCAACCTAACCGGACTCAACCATATCCTAGTTTTAAGATAATTACAAAAATTAAGAATCTTTAGCATTATCGATGTATTTTGACTTGTGACTTGTGAATGCTTAATACTGAGTTTTATGAGATTTTAGTTATTAACCTGACATGTATTATGGATAAGGAATTTTTTAAAAAAATAATTAAGAAAAAAACTCGAAAATAAAGAGTGAGAGTAGGTTAGGTTGAATTATGAACTGTCACCAATTCAACCAATTCAAAATTTTGGAATGATCGAGAAAAGATTTCCAACCCAACTTGCCCGAGCCTAATTTTGTCGATTTGGTTGTTTCATGGTGACACTTGTACAATTTTATAATTGTACTTGTGTATAGAGTTTTTTTTAATGTCTTTCCACATTGCGTGGTTGAGAATTGAAGTTTGCCTAAATTCTCAAACAAAGTATTAGTTGAAAAAGAGACTCTTTAATATTTTATCATAAATAAACGTGTAATAGACTTTCGGATAGTAATATTATTTAGTTTGGTTCAGAAATTTATGAGTAATGATATCAACTTGAACATAGTTCAACTGACATAAAACATATAATATCGACTAAAAGATTAAAAGTTTAAATGTGAGATCTCACCTCAGTTGGAGAGAAAATAAATCATTTCTTATAAGGTTGTGAAAATCTCTTCTTAACAAACATGTTTTAAAACTGTGAGACTGACGATAATACGTAACGGGTCAAAGGAAACAATATTTGCTAGTCATAGGTTTGAGCCATTACAAATAGTATCAAAGTCAATCATCAGACAATGTGAGGCACTAGTCAGAATAGGGCTAGATCCTCTCCATAGCATACATGTTTTAAAACTGTGAGGCTGACGGCAGTACATAACGGACCAAAACGGATAATATTTGCTAACGGTAGGCTTGGGCTATTACAAATGGTATCAAAGCCAAACACTAGGCGGTGTGAATCAGACAATATTTACTAACGGTGGGTTTGAGTTGTTACAAATGGTATCAGAGCTAGACATCGAGTGGTATACCAGTAAGGACGCTAGGCCCATAACAAAGGTGGATTGTGAGATCCCATATCGATTAGAGAGGGGAAAACCTAATTTTTATTAAACTTTTCTTATATAATACGATTAAAACAAGTCCTAATACGAATAAGTTTAAGCTATCGTGTCATGGAAGAATTGAATATTAGTTAATTTGACGAGAAACCTAATGGTTTGTTGAACCAAAAAAAACAATGAAAGTTTGTTTGGGGACATAGCACATTAACTTCGAAAGCAACAAGTAAATGTGAACATCATGATGTGAATTGCATGAGAAAGAAACCGATTAAAGTTGAAGTACATAGAGAAAGATCCCACTCTTATGCTTAAAAAAAAGTTTGAAAATTGAGGGATTGTAAGTGTTTGAAAGCAACCCTTCAACAACCACTCTCATTATGTTCCACAAATTTTAAGTTAATAGCGTTTCAATGCTCTATTACGACGTTTTCGATAAAAAAAATGTAAGCAGTTCAAGCTAACTGTTAGCATATATTGTCCGTTTTGGTCCGTTATGTATCGTCGTCAGCCTCACGGTTTCAAAACGCGCCTATTAGGGAGAGGGGTCCCTACTCTTATAAGGAATGTATGTTCTATTACGATATTTTCGACCGGCCTCAGTTTCAAAACACTAGGGAGAGGTTTCCCTACTCTTATAAGGAATATTTTGTTCCCCTCCCCAACCGATGTGGGATCTCACAATCCAGTCCCCTTGGAGGCCCAATGTCCTTTCTGGTACACCGCCTAGTGTCTGGCTCTGATATCATTTGTAACAGTTCAAGCTCACCGCTAGGAGATGTTGCTCGCTTTAGCCTATAATGTATTGTCGTCAGCCTCACGATTTTAAAACGTGTCTATTAAGAAGAGATTTCCACATCCTTACAAGGAATGCTTCCTTCCCCTCTCCAACCGATATGGGATCTCACAATCCAATCCCCTTGGAGTCTCAATGTCCTTACTACTACATCACACCCTTTGTAACAGTTCAAGCTCACCACTAGCAAATATTGCTCGTTTTAGCCTGTTATGTATCGTCATCAGCCTCACGATTTTAAAACGCGTCTACTAAGGATAGATTTCCACATCCTTACCAGCAATGTTTCATTCTCCTCTCCAACCGTGATATCTCACAAGATTCTCTTCTGGGTAAACTCTGAAAGGAAAGAAAGACCGGGATGCCAACAAGCATCCATTATTGAATTCACCCGATCAGATAGTATCTCATTTTCGAAACGTCCGGTGCATTATTATTGAAAATTCATAATATTTTAAACAACCTCATTTAATTCAAATCACTTTAAAATATTACATGGAGTGAATTTATAAATGCATTATTATTGGAGGAAAAAAACAATATTGAACTATCCATAATAATTGAAATTATGAATTAATTAATTAAAAGTAAACGTGAACAGTCAAAGTCAGATGAGCTGTCAGACGTTAAGCAATATTATTGTCCACTTAATAATTAATTAATTAATTATAATTTATGAATATTCGATTATATTTTGAACTATGTGAAAATAATTAGTACAATCCTAGATTCGTAATTATTTGCATATCTCAAACGTGCCTTCTTTAACCTATTTAATAATAATTACTATTATTATTTTTATTTTTTTTACATATAAGTTATGTAATAATTATTACTAAGATAATAAAATATATATATATATATATATATATATTAAATGTGTGTTTAGTAAGTTCATTTTTTAAAAAAAATTTAATTTTTAATTTTAACAAATCTTTAAAATGGTTAATAAATTTTAAATTTTTTAATTTTGTGTCTAATAAATTTCTAAACTTTAAAAAATATTTAAAAAATGTAACACGGGAAAAATAATTTTAAGGATAAAATAATTAAAAAAAGTTATTTTATTAGATAAAAAAAAAAGAATAAATTTATGATTTAATTAATTCCTTAATCATAATGTCTGTCGTTTACACAAATGACAACAATGAATAGAGCTTCAAAATTATTCAAAATCCCA